GCATGTGTATGTATTGGGGGGTGGGCACTTTATTTGCAGTAATAAAAAATAATTATACAGTTTGCTGCAGAAGTGGCCTCAAGGATAACCAGAGTGTGTCAGACATCTAGTTATGCGTGTGATAAAGGTTAATAGTATTTGTTCTCTGTACATTTAGTCTTTGCAAATCATGTGCTGACATGCATCCCATTTTGATATCTGTTCACACACTCTGGTAATGATGCGTAAAGCAGAAACTCATGCCTGTGGCATTCAGTAGTATTTAGTAAATTGAACTTTTGTGTAAAGATCTTAGAAAATGGCAAGGCAGAAAATGAATGTCATCTTGCTGCTAATTTTATCTTCCTCAACACACTCCTTTCTGGAGATTAAAGCATTATGAATCTATTCACTACTGAAAGTTATTTCAACTTCCATGGCACATATCAGGATGCAGAAAAGCAAGTGCGTGTTCACAGCTGTTCCTCAGGTCTCTCTGCTGGAAATACAACCTGTTAAGCTGCTAGATTCCTGCTTAAAATAACTAAAAATAATGAAATAAAACAATTAACTGGTGAATCCTCATTAAATACAAATACTGAAATAAATAGTACAGCAAGGTAACTGAGTGTGTATGTAAACTAGCTGTAGATAATTGACATGACCTTCATTTAATGAGCCTCCTTCCCATTAGTGGAGATGACTGCCACAATTATGTGCCCTTATTCTAGCTGTAATTGTATGGACTTTATTGAAGTACAAACTAGGTCACGTCTTCCTGAGATCTGGTCCGTGGTGGGTGACCTCTTTTCATTGCTACAGCTTTGCTGTGCTGCATGAAAGCAGGAAGGATGCTCTTGCAGCCATGAGAATGGATGGCATTCAGGAAGCCAGTCTCAAATGTGATTCCTGACAGACATCTCGTGTGTCCTGAGGGAGTAGTTTCAGGCTTGCTCTCGAGGAGGCTGGTTTATATCTATGTTACACAAGTTAGGGGTATGTACAATAGACTGTGGGACAGCAATTGGACCAAGATTTCCTCTCCTAGAGAAGTCTTTGATCTTTTGTGCCCAAAGATGTGGCTGAACAGGAGTGCAAAGGGGTTGCAGTCTTCTCTTGTTTGTCCTAGAAGGTGTGGAGTAGAGACCTGGACCTCCTATGGCTGAGCAGGGAGGCGGTGAGCGCGTTGTGGGACTGCAGACTCACGCTGTATCGTCAGTGATTTTTTACATTTGTATTCTTCTGACTTTGTGATTGTGGCTACTCTCCTTGTCTGGCATTCAGTTGTATTTGTGCCCTCAGAACATGCATTATCAGCCAGGTTGCTCAGCACTGGTGAGCCTCTATGGGAAATAGGTGCTGGGTCTGCCAGGGTATCCTCAGGCACGGGTGTACACAGAAATGCTGGGCATCTCCAGGCACTGCCTCGTAGTGGGGGATATTCAGTACCTTGCTCAGTAGTAACATGCTGGGAAAACAGGAAAATACGGTTTTCTCCCATGTTCCCAGCACAGTTCTACTTCCAGACAGGGTGACTGGCTCATAATTGGAAAAATGTATATAATATGTTAGTGTTTGGGGTTTACAAGGCACTTATTGTAACAGGACAGGGAGTATCTTTAATCATTATAATATAATGAAGGTTTGATAGCTGGGGAACAGAGGAAAAGGACTGGAAGCTACCATCCAAAGTGTTTCCAGTGACCTTATTGGTGCTACATTGGGATATTAGTCCTGCCTCACTAAGAAAGAGATGAACCATGCATTCAGATGTCAGTTCAACAATAGCTGAAAGATTGTGAGGTGAGATGCTTTATTCTGCTATACCATGTTAAACTAGTAGATTTTTGAGCAACTGCTAATACAAATTGCTGTGGCTTCTAAAATGAAGATGTTTCCCAGGTGATAAAATATTATTTCCATGTATTAAATCACTTGATATAATTTTGCTGCCAAAGACAAGGACTGTGTATATTGCTCAAGTCACTGTCAAGATAGAGAGAAGAATCTTTTCACATCCTGCTTGCAGAGTTCAGCTTAGTCTGGGACTCATTTAAAAGAAAAAGATGTTTGATCTGTGATCGCTTGCTGGCAATATTCCATGTGTCTGTGCTGCTAAAGCTTACTTTGACATACTCTTCTGCTGTTATAAATGGGAGGAAGAGGAGTGGCTTTTAAGCAGACGTGTTTTCTTGTGTATTATCAGTATACTATGTGGGTAATGGCTGTCTAAAAGTTGTTGGTTTTCAAAGTCGGGTTGTACACAATTTTGTGCCACCCCAGATAATAGGGGTAGTTGTGTGTCATTGGATGGGATGTAAATAGATCAAACGTGGCAGCAGTGTCCTTGCTAAATGGAAGGCAAAACTGATTAAGGAAGAATTAATGTGGTATATAAAATACTGTTGTATCTGGTGACCGAGCAGCCACTGGTGGAGAATTCTGAGGGCTTATCGAGGTCAATCTGCACCTCTGTCCTCTGTTTTCCTTGTAAGAGAAGTGTCCCTGTGAGTGAAGCTTCACAGCCACTGTTCTGTTCACTTCACATCCATGAGAGGTAAACAGCCCAGTGACAATGGTGAAGGACATGGCCTGCTCCAGGGATCCTTCTCTCCTTTGTTCACCCAACTCACTTGAAAAGCTGCTGCTCAGCCTCCAGCTGGTGTGCTCACCTGAGGGGTGCCAGCTTCTCCTTGCTCTGTGCTTGTCTTGGTGCCTCTTGTGTTGTGCCCTCTCTCTTTTGCACTGGAAGGTCCCTTGGGGTACTACGTGCTCAGACAGACTCTGTCCTCCAGAGTCAAGAGTTGGCTGGGATCTCTGGGCACTACTTTAATAAAAATAACAGGAACTTGAATAGGAGCCAGAAGATCTGTGTTCTGTTCACTGCTCTGGTGGCCACAAAGTGTGATGTGGGTGTTTGGGGTTCTTTTCCTTTTAGGTCTTATAGAAAATAACTCTCCAAAGATGTAGTATGAATATTGTTTTTTGTCCCACTGGCTCTGCATTTGTATGCTAGCTGAGCCACCCCTTTTCAAGACTGCAAGAGTTGTCTTGTCTCTCCTCGTTTGATAAAGGAAGACTAACAATCTTTTTCCTTGTTTTGTAAATCGCCTCTGTAGTATTTCTCTCCCCTTTGAGAAAGAAAGCTGACACTCCCTGTAGAATGTTTTAAAAATCCTAGGATGAAAAAATCTGCAAAATATTAATGTTCTGCATGGTTAGAGCAAACACTATGTTCCTGTGAGTCACAGATGTCAGGTTTGTTTAATCTTAATAAATCTATGCCACAACAACACTTTTAAACAGGAAGAGAGATGGAGGGATGAAGGAAGAGTTGCACTGAGGTAGAGAGAATTCTTGGCCAAAATCTTGTTCAGTGAGGGGCTAGGGGTGAAGAGGGCATGGACACAAACCCAAACACTTTCCACCCTGCCTTCATTAAGTAAACTTTGAGACCCGTATTTTGGGCATTTCCTTTCTAGTACACATTTTATTTTATTTGTATGTTTTATGATAAATTGTCTTTCCATGTTCAAGCCTTAAGAGTACTAGTTTCCCACAGCATATTTGCAGGAGATAAAGTAAGTCTTTTTACACAGCACCCTGTTGGCAAACAGAAACAGCATTTACTGCCAAGTATGAGGTACTTCCGAATGAACTTCAAAAGCTCTGAGACAAGCATTAGCTGCTTCTTCAAAAATGTGAACAATGCCATTGCTTTCTAGCAAGCAGGACTGGTGAGAACAGGGATCAGAAGGCGGAAAAATAACAACTGGATGTGATGGATGTTTTAGTAGCACTTGGGATCAGACAGAAAGTATAGCTCTCTGTCACTGCAGGATTTGGGGGGTTCTTGTAAGAGTACTTTTCTCCTCTGCTCTTGAGGGGGAAACAATTTCTGCCCTGATCTTGTATGGAGACTTAGCAAAGCTCTTGGGAAGGAGCAGTCATACGAGCTCCAAGCTGTTGGGAGTGCTGATAGAAGCGAGTTGTGCTGACTCCAAGCCTGGTGAAGAGTTTCTTTACTGGCACTCCTTTCTGGTGCTACCCCCCCTCTCCATGAGGACAGAGACAAGCATACACATAAACATCAAAGCACAGCCCGTGGCACGTGCCAGACCTTGAGGCAGAACGTGAGAGAAACAGGCAGACTGTCTTTCAGCGTGGCAGTAGGGCTGGTTGTGCTGGAGTTCATGATGGGCTCTGGGCTCTAACTGGGTTTAAATAAATGCTTTGCCCACTTGAAAACAGCCAGTGTGAGGCTCTGGGAAAGAGTGATTCTGCTCCTGTCGCTTCGGGAGAGCTCTTACCAGCCCTGGAATCCAGCAGGGCCTTTCTGTGCTGTTCACATGATGCAAGCTGTCTGTGGAGCTCAAATTTGCTATACTGTTCTGGGCCCTTTTCTTGTTCTATATCTATGTGTATATACCTACTACATTTAGATGAGGAATTGACCTGCTGAGACCTCAGAATTTTATGGTTTCTTCCTGTGTTCTGAAGGTTGCTTTCAAAATACAAATGCAACTTATCCTGGTGCTGTTCAGGTTTTTTGTGGATACAACGGTGAACTATTTTTGCCGTAGAGAGATCTTAAAAATCAAATATTTACATTTGCACTTGAAATGGAAGTCTTGCCTTTCATGATTGTGAAGCTGTCTTTTATTGCTGAAATGCTGCATTGCTAAGTAGCAGTTCTGCTTTTGCTGTTACTTGAAATAGGTGTAATCAGTCAATAAATAAGGAGTCTGCATAATATCTAATCTGATACTTACTACAGAGAGACTTCAGCACCTAAGAACTCTGACTTGCTGGGATCAATGTTGCCTGAGTGCAGTATATGCTTTATCTGAAACTCCAAATGAAGGCACACTCTTCCACAAGAGTGTGCTTTATCTCTGGTAACAAGTTGCAGCTGCACGCAGCAGATCTCTGTAGAAAGTGCGTAAAGTCTCGTGACAACTTAGGTGAATTTTTATTACTCCAAGCCTTGTAAGTTAATTTATTTTTCTTGTTTTTAACAGTTCCACCAAGTGAGAAGAGTGATGACCATCCTTTTCCTTACTATGGTTATCTCATACTTCAGTTGCATGAAAGCTGCCCCAATGAAAGAAGCTGGTCTAAGAGGACAAGGCAGCTTGGCTTACCCAGGTCTTCGGACCCACGGGACTCTTGAGAGCCTAAATGGGCCCAGTGCTGGTTCAAGAGGACTGACATCGCTGGCAGACACTTTTGAACATGTCATAGAGGAGCTTCTAGATGAGGACCAGGACATCCAGCCCAGTGAGGAGAACAAGGATGCAGACTTGTACACATCCCGAGTCATGCTAAGCAGTCAAGTGCCTTTGGAACCCCCACTGCTCTTTCTGCTTGAGGAGTACAAAAACTACTTGGATGCTGCAAACATGTCCATGAGGGTCCGGCGCCACTCCGATCCAGCTCGCCGTGGGGAACTGAGTGTGTGTGACAGCACGAGCGAGTGGGTGACAGCAGCAGAGAAAAAGACTGCAGTGGACATGTCCGGGGCCACCGTCACAGTCCTGGAAAAAGTCCCAGTACCCAAAGGCCAACTGAAGCAATACTTCTATGAGACCAAATGCAACCCTAAGGGGTACACAAAGGAGGGCTGCAGGGGCATAGACAAGAGGCACTGGAACTCCCAGTGCCGAACTACCCAGTCTTACGTGAGAGCTCTCACCATGGATAATAAAAAGAGAGTTGGCTGGCGCTTCATAAGGATAGACACTTCTTGTGTATGTACATTAACCATTAAAAGGGGAAGATAGTGGGTTCGTGTTGTATAGATTATATTGAGACAAAATTATCTATTTGTATATATACATAACAGGGTAAATTATTCGGTAAAAAAATAATTTTATGGACTGCATGTATGATGGAAGTTTATACAGTACAGTGGTTACACAATCTATTTATTGAACATATCCATGACCTGAAGGGGAACAAAAAGTCATTTGCGCACAAGTTAAAAAAAAAAAAAAAAAAAAAAACCCAGAAAAAAAAACAAAAAAACAAACAAAAAAAAGAAAATCAAGCAAAAGAAAAAGTCTGCATTACATTCCTCGATAACATTGTGGTTTGTCGCCGTTGCCAAGAATTGAAAATATAAAAATTAAAAAAAAAAATAATAAAATTGCATGCTGCTTCAATTGTGAATTAATGATAAACTGTCCTCTTTCAGAAAAATAAATTGAACCAAAACATTCTGTTTACATTTTAGACAGTAATTATCTTTATTCCTGTTAGTATATATGTTTACTGCTTCTAACTTCTGATAGCGTTGGAATTAAAACAATGTCAAGGTGCTGTTGTCATAGTTTTACTGTTTCTGTTTTACTTTTGAACTCCCATCAGATTTAAAAAGGAAAAAAAAATCATTACCTTATTCTGGATTAAAAACAAATTTGTTTTTTGTATGTTGTGAAGGTGTTTGCAATAGCAATCCAACTACTGACAAAAAATAATAAAAAGAGGCAACTGAAAAAGAATGGTGATGTTCCACTTCACATTGTTGAACTTCAGGCTTAAAGACAGCACTTATTTAATTGTATGGTAACACGCTTTCTTGGTGGGGTTTTTTTGTTGTTTGTTTGTTTGTTTTTTTGTTGTTTTTTTGTTCTTTTTTTTTTTAATTTGCAGTCTTTTGAGACCTGCATTTGCTTATACTATGTTTGTTTGTGTTTGGTATTTTTTCTTTCCCCTTTCCTCCCTCTGGAGGGACATTGGTTGTGATCTTTAAAGTATTTCAGTTACCATAGGACTGGAGCTTATCATATAGAGAATATTCTATAGAGTGTTGAGAGCAATGATTTTCGTGTAATAAAAGACTGTGCTTGGATCAAATGTCTTGGTGAAGCACTAGAAAAAGAGTCTAGGAAGGTGATGGTGGATCTGAAATCAAGTTGGTTATGGGACTTAATAGCTCAGCCAGTTTGGGGACAGATAACAGTGGTTTGGGGTGAGCGAGGCCGTCCCACTTGCAGTCACTGCTGGGTGTGGTCCCGTGCATTCCCTGGGAGAGCAAGAGCTTGGCCCTGTACGTGGATGCCCTCACCCTCCATCCACAGCATGCCAGCAGCCCCAGGCCTGTAAAGCTGGTGGGCAAACTCTGGTGGAATCTCTGCCTGTAGGAGCCCAGGGAAGGAGCTGGGGAATGAGGCAGAAAGGAGCCCTGCCTCTGGTAGAGAGCAATTACTGCTGAGTTTGTGCGGCTCTACCTCTGCCGTCAGCGTTAGTTTGTGAAACAAATACTGTCGTTAAAAAAATACTCTCAAAGTAAGTGAAGAGCAAGTGCTGGAGGAGTTGGCTTAACTTGCTTAGGTTCTGAGAGACATGTTTAGCTCTACGGTCCCCCTCTCACTATCCTGACAGAAGTATTGCTGAGAAGGGTGTGAGGCTGAGAGCTGTGCTGAGCTCTTGCACTGACTGCCGTGGGCTGAGAGCAGAAATAGCTCGTTAGTGAGCTCACTGAAGGCTGATGCTGTATTTGTAATTCCTGTAGATGAGGAAAAATAGCTGAACAAAGAGGAATGTGCTGCAAAATATATCTGCTCCTGAAGGCTGCAGAATCCGCGTTAATTAAAACCCGGACCAGGCAAAGTTTATTGAAATATGATCCCCCCCATCATGCTCTTTGAAGAGCATATTTAGCACTGAATTTATGTCATTACTGGTAGAAACCCACGCTGGAAGCTAACAGGCACCCTCAAATCAGTAATTTTTTTTTCTACTGGGGGTAGAAGGGCATCCCCTTCCTGAGGGTAACTCTGTCAAAGTGCTGCCTTTTGCATTGGTCATGTGCCTGCTGGACTGTGAGTGAGAAGAGAGGTTTGTGTGACCCACTTGAACGTCAAACTTCAGCCTTCCCCATCCATTGCTGATATTCAGGTTCCCACACAGAAATCAGAATTGAAAAAAAAAAACAAAACAAAACAACCAAACTTATTGAAATGTCTCAAAACTTCAACTAAGGTGTTCTTTGTGCAAATTAAATCGTAGAATCAAAGAATGTTTTGAGTTGGAAGGGACCTTAAAGATCATCTAGATCATAGGCAGGTACACCTTCCACTAGACCCTTTCATTCCCCTGTGGCCAGTACCTGTGTGTGTATTATAATTTGCATTTAGTGAACCCAGAGTGGCTCAGGAGCTGCTTAAACTGCAGCACAGAAGTGTAATGGTGGCTCCTCTCAAAACAAGGGTGGGTTGCTTATAGGGAGGACAGGATGATGCTGATGTGTGTGTAACAATCAGATCACTCGTCTAGATTGGAAACAAAAAGATAGTTAGGATGTGACAGTAGCCTAATTCAGATGCAGGAATACAATAATTCCCAATTCAGATAAACTGGATTTCCAAAAGAGAAGTGTTAATGCATCAGTCGTGCTAGAAATAAAGTTCCTCGTTTCCCAGAGTTAATTATGGCTGTATCCTACACTCAGAAATCCTCAGCTGGCACAGTGAGGGTGGTGCTGGTGTGGCACAGTTAGGGCAGAGGGGTAAAGGACAGCCCATGTAGGTGGGGGGGACTAAAGGATGGAGCTGGGAACCTTGAGAACAGTGTCCTGTAACCACATCCAGAGTGATGTTCCCCGTAACATGCCAATTCTGCACCTATGGACATAAGGTGAAGCTGGCAATGAAGCTGCAGTCCCATGGCTCTCTCCTGCCTGACCTGATCCATCCATGGTCACAGGCTGAGCAGTTGTAGCTAAAACAGAGGCGGAGAGGGGAGGGTTGGTTTTCTTTCATATTACTTAATTAAACTCTTGCTGTGGTCTGTACGTGACAAAAGTATATCATGCATGTCAGCAGGCCTAGTGCTGTGTTAAAGACTCTTGCAACTGTAAGTTAATGTCTGTGGCCTTGTTCTCTATTATCCATTTTGTGTAACATAAATATTTATTGTATATTTATATAATTTTATGGTTTTTTGGGAAAATACTGAAATTGGCATTAAAATTTAAAAGCAACCGCGTCATATTGTAAATATAATTAAGCTATATTTAAGTGTACTGATTAACATAATATATGTTTAACTAGAGTTTTTTATGTTTTTAAATATATTTTCGAAATATATATATATAAAACTCGGGGGGTTTTGGGGGACCATGTGACTCTTTTCTCTAATTGTAAAACAAACTTGAGTTTTACTATAAAGATGTGTGTTCTTTGTTTTAAAACAATTTTTACTCTATTTTAGCAATAAAATCTCACTTGGAGGGCAGATAGCCCCCTGTTTCATAGCTGGACAGTTAGCATTGGGAGGGGAGGGGTGGCAAGAATTTACCTCCCATAAAAGGTGGGAGTACTCACAGAATAACGTATTTCCATTTAATTCTAGCACAAAAGACTCATGAAGTAAAAACCCATTAATGACATATATATGATTTTTTTCAGGTGTAAAATAATGAGCACAATGGAAGTGAGGGGGAGGGGTTACTACCCTAGTAAGTAAGGGATGAGACATAATATCTATAGTCCAGTCATGTACCTGATTTTTAAATGGTGTAATTTATATTTATATCCCCTGCACTGAACTTATTTATGACCCCATGGAGTACTAGGGGTGGAATTCCTTGAATTTAACATATTGTTAGCATTTCTAAAAGGATATTCTCTACTGCAACTGCCAAGCCCTTTGTATATTTAACTATCCCATAGCCCTAAAACAATCATCCTCACGATGAGTAGAAAACTGTCATATAATGTAAGGAGGGGAGGGGGGAAAAGCACAAACCCAAACTCTTACCAAAAAAATATATATTGCTGCGGGTTTCTCGAGAGCCCAGCACCAGCAACATCTCAGAGGAAATGGTGCTTCTGCAGATTGTCATGAGTATTAAGCACACGTGCCTGCACATTGCTTGCATTATTGTCATCTTAAAAATAAGCTCCCAGAAGCACTAACAGACACTAAAATCTGTGGTGTGTGGATGAACAGAGCTGCATCACGACCACGCCGTGTGCCTGCAGGAGCTTGGCTCTGCTCAGACCCTGCCTCCTCCCCAAGGTAGGACAGAGATGGGTGAAGTTGCTTTAGCTTATTAAATATATGTTAATTAAATGTCATGGGTACCCAGGGAATAAAATGGGCACCTTCAAAATACATATTTGAGCAGAAGATATGGGCACTAACCGTCCATCCATCCATCCCTCCATCCACTCTACTGAGTCCTAGCTCTGCAGGGGAAAATAAAGGTATTTCCCTGGCTTTTATCACTTGGAGCAGAAACAAAGGCATATAGTCAGACTTGAAAATTACTCAGCCAAAAACCAGTAGAAAGCAGTAAAAGAAGATTTTTGAAGAGAGTATTTGAAGGCTATGTTGTAAGTGTAATGAGAGGGGGAGGACACTTATTTCAGTTTGTCCCAGGTGGATCCGATACACTGCTTCCAGGCTACTTCCCCTAATTAGGTCCTCATTGAGAAGACACCTTCTGGCAGGTCAATTAAAATGAAAAGGGAATGGATGCACTTTTTTGGAGTAAATATAAAGAGCATCAAGGCCTCACCTTACAAAGGAATTGATATTTTCAACTCAGAAAGGTTCTGTAGGTTGTGTTTTGGAAGAAGAGGAGGTTGGGGTTCTTTTTCTGAACCTTACTTTTTTATAGGTGGAGATTTATTTTTTCTTTTTTTAAACCACTTCCCAGCATTTGCATAGTCAGAGACTACCCAAAAAAATCAGTCAATACATAAAAATGCGCGTATAAATCAGTGAATTTAAAGTGATAGCTTTTTTTTGGTGCCTGTTGGACTGGAGATGGCACAAGTGGGTTCAGCTTCTCCAGGCAAGATTTGAGTTCACCTGTGGAACTTGAGACACCTCTGGAAATCAGGTCCTTTAAATCCTGTCAGTGGAAGAAAGCACTTGGAGGGAAGTTGCTCTTTGCTACACCAGCCTTCTGTGTTGAGGGGAATGGCACACAGCTGCTGGTTTTTGCTTTGCTGTGCAAGGGTGAGTCTCTAAAACCTGCCTGTGACCTGTTCCATTCAAGTCACACGTATGTATATGTATTTATCTCGGTGTAAAACAGCTGCTGGCGCTGCCAGCTTGTCTCTGTTGGTCTGGCTGCTGCTGTGTTGTTGACTCCGTGCAGAATTGCAGCCACAGCACCTGTTGCTGCAGATCCCTGCTCTGTAGGAATAACGTGCAGAGAGAACCAGGAGTGGCAATTCCCGGTAATTCCCGGTGCCTGGGAGGACCACGCAGGCAGCAGGGGCTTCCCTGCTGCCAGGAGCCTCCCGCCGCCTCGGCTTGCAGCAGACACCGCTGATCTCATCCCAGCAACCGCTGCCAGTTTGCTCACACAGGGATTTCAGGAGATGAGGAGGAGGATTTGGCACAGAGCTGCGAGGCTTCTTGCCTGAATCCTCTCCTCTGCCTCTGCCAGCTGGGTGAAGCGCTGTGTGGCAGTGGGAAGAGGCAGGGAGCTGCCTTGGAACCCCCGGTGTGGCAAAGGAATGCTCAGGTGTGCTGTCCTGCCCACCACCCTGGGATCAGTAGCACTTTGCAGTGGGAGACAGTTGTGACTGGGGCTGGAGGCCTTCCAGTAGGGTCAGGGAGACTGCTAGAGTAAAATGGGCTTGGGAAAACCAAACAAAAATGTTTGGGAAAACCAAACAAAAATGTTTGGAAAAGAATGTTGTTGGTACGTGAGCAGAAAGCCAAGTTCCCAGCACAGGTGTTGCTCTCGCACATTGGTACAGGGTGAAATGTTCTTCCTTATCTTCCTCTGAACCTGAATAAACTCCTTTAGGAATGCCAGAGTAGGACTCCAAAAGTATGTGATTTGTTTGATAGGAGTAATCTCTCCGGTGATATGCGAAGGGGTGGTTTACAAGGAAGGAATATGTCTTGCTGGGAGCGCAGAGTTTTGCGCTTCCAGAAAGAGCATCTCATATCTGCACTCAGAAAATGCTTCCCCTTGCTAAAACAATCCTTTCCTTATACTGTCCCCTCCTCCCCTTTATTAAAAAGAGACCCCGAGCAAACAACCTGGGGTATCTTAAGCCTATAAAGTACTGGAATTACCAAATTCAAGCTGCAGCTCATGTACATAAGCCAAGCTATCTTCTCCTGCATTATGTTGATCATAACAGCTTTTAAAACTGCTCAAACTCTAAATAAGGGTGCAGGTACATAGTGTACTAAATATTCCTTCAACTGTCATCTACACTGAGGATTTTGAAATTATTCTAATAAGGTTTTCAATGATAACTTTTTCTGACCTTTAAAGACCACTCTGCTGAGAGACTCATTTTTGCTCTAACCCCAGCATGGTCCTTCATAGAAGTTGCACTATATTTGGACTCCAGCCCTGGGAATCTGTTATATGAAGGCAATCTAAAGTATGTGTGGCCATGTTTGTGTTACAAAAACAGTTAATACTGCCAATGACACCATTTACTTCCATGAAACAGCACAGGGAGGCCCTTTTGTTCCCAGTTCGACACTCTGCTCTCACACACATGGGTTGGTACAGCTGCAAAATTGAATGGAAGGGCGTACCCAAAAAACCCTATCTTTGGGAGATATAAAAAGAACAAATCTAGTGAGCTTTGTTGAAAGCAAGGTGCAGATGATGTGCTGCTGCTTCGCTTTTCCATAACATCCCTGCCTTTGCCAGTCAACAACAAATGCATACCCAAAGTCCTGTTCAGCTAAAAGCAGAAGCCCAAATTGTGCTGCATCTTTTTTTTTTCGGTCCCCCGGCTTGCTTTATTCTTGGGATAGGCAAAACATGTGCTTGATGTCCCCAAGTAGTGCAGCCACGTAGAGCAACAGCACTGTCTCAGCAACACAAGTACATTTATTTAAAAAAATCAAATCACCACATCACCTTGTAAATTAATATCCTTTTTTGCCTTGTGGGAGCTACTGCTCCAGAGGATACAGCCATAAGTATG